TAGAATAGTGATCATATAATCGATACAAGACATCAATAGTCTTTTTAAAGATGGCTTCACGCTTTGTAGGTTCAGGAAAAATGTCTTCAAAAGCAATCTTAACATATGTCATCTTGAACCTAGGATCAAGGATCACCACTATGATCAATAGTGGATTCATTTTTTCTGCTCTTCCCCAGTACTTATCATACTTTGTCTACATCCTTCTTGCCATGTCACTTAAGAGAGAGTAGTCACTAGCTACACTTTGATGAAGATGAGTCTGAATTGCAACTATATACTAAAAGCATGTGCTTATTGTCACAAAATTTGATCTAGAAAATTTGAGGGTCTTAGCATAGAATAACCTCAAAAACCCAAGAAACTCTTTGGCGACACTCCAATCATATGCACTAGGTGGTTCGACTGTACTCCTCATCAATGTTGTGTCGATGATAACATTATCATTATCATTATCATAATTTGGGTCATCATCATGTTGGCTTGAACCTAGCTTAACTTTTTTCTTAAAATAATCCTTGTAATCTTGATCTTCTTCTTCCATCCTATCAAAAATTTTGATGAATTTAACAGTATTCTCCAATATAAGATAAGTTTAATTCCACCTAATGCCATGACAAGAAATAAACAATTAGGAACTATCAAATGAAATTAACATAAAGTTAAAATAATACAAGTATAATATAGCCTAGCTGGAGACAATCTAACAAATTCACTTGCATGTCAAATGAGTTCAATAGACTTATTCATTTCCTTCAAACCTTCACCAATAATTAGATTTAAAATGTGAGCTGCACACCGCATTTGCATAAACTCTCCATCACATATTAAACCATTCCAACTCTTCAACCATTTCTTCAAATATGCAATTGTAATGTCATTAGAAGAAGCATTGTCAACTGTAATTGTGAATACTCTTTCAATGCTCTGATTGAATAGGCAATCCTCAGTTTGCTTGCTAATTGTATCCCCTTCATGATTTTCAATGATACAGAAATTCAAAATCATTTTTTGCAAAGTCCAATCCTCAATAATCTAAAGTGCAGTCAAACACATGTAGTTGGAGTTTTATATTGAGGTCCAACAATCAGTGGTGAGGGACACACGACATTTAGATCGTTTGAAATATTTTTTCAAACGTTTTTCTTTCTCCAAATATAATTGGTAACAATCCCTGCCAATTATCCAACGTGATGGCATCTAAAACCTAGGTTCAGACTCTTGCAAAAGTTCTTTTAAACCCTCCCCTTCCATAACTTGAAAAGGCAATTCATCCTTTATAATGAACCTTGCAAGAGCCTTTCTACATTGCTCCTGATTGAACAAGCAATAAGATTAAGATGATTGAGAAGAAAAGTAGCAAACAAACTTTGTGACTTGCTCACTTTGTTTGGGTTCTTAGGACACTTTTCAAAATGCCGCCACAATTGTTTCGTCCCAGTTTTGGTTGGATGACTTGCATAATCTATGCCACAATAATTGTATTTTGCCCTATGTTTCTTTTTGGTTTGGGTTAATGGCATTCTTGTAAAATGATTCTAAATATCAGATGTTAGCCGCTTTTTTCTCTTCACTAGTGGTGCTACTTCTTCAGCATCTTATCTCTCATTAGTATTTCTACCATGTTGAACAATAGTACTTGGGTCTTCGGTTGGAATTGCCACAGTTTCCTCTACAATAGTCTTACATTTGACATTTTCTTGCAAACTTTGTGCCATTCCTCAATTTCCTTCTCAATCCAAATCAAATTTAACAAAAATAATAATAGCATAAACAAAAACAATCATAATTTTCCAATTTTTCTCAAACAAAACCAATTTTTACTTAAACATAATTAAAAAAAACAAGTAGCATAAGTCGAAGATAATTCAACATTCAACAAGAGCAACAGAAGCAATAAAGCTACTTGATCATGATATCATCAGAAGGTCAACTAATGTGTTGCTGTTTGATCATATAGGATTCCAACTTCCACATGATTTAAGGGCCGGCAATAATGAACAAAGCCATGTATATATATTAATTAGGTGTCAAAAATATATGTATATATTTGGAATTGGGTTTTCATTTCAATTAGACAATTGCAAAATCAAGTTGAAGACTTGAAGCTTACCTGACTGAGAGACCGAGTTGGAATCAGCAGCGACCCTACGTAGCTGCGTGAGAGACTTAGACTCTGAGAGACTAGAGAGTGGAGAGCTGTGACTCTATGAGCACTGAGCAGTGGTGAGAGTGGAGACCAGAGAGTGGAGGCCGAGACACCAAGAGGTGAGTAATAGAGTGAGATTGCAAGAGAGTAAAGGACTAGAGGGCGACACACTAAGCAGTGGCGCCGACGAGAGCAAGAGCGAGAACGTAAGAGTAGAGTGACAGTCGACGGGAGTTCGTGGAGAGTCAAGAGCGGACTATGGTCTGTGGAGACAGAGGCAATGAGACAAGAGGTGACTGGTGACTGGCAAGACTCGAGAGACGAAGAGAGTAGAGGGCGATGGGGTGAGGTAGAGGCACTGAGATCTGACTCCTTGACTGAATGGGAAATAGGACTTGGACTGGGCTTTGGTTTGGCTTAAGCCCACAACAAGGCAGATCTCTCCTTTTAAAAAAAAATGAGCGGCTACGGGAAGCCCATGCTTGTACCCGTAACCAGCCCATTTAAGTTGTAAACCCCCCTGTTTAAGCCTTCCCATTTATTTTCTTTTTTGGGTAGCTTAGACGAGCCCAATTTATGTTGGTTGTAGGCGGGCCGCCGGGTTTTGGGTTGCATGCTCAGCCCTAGTTCTATTTATCAAGCTCAACCAAATAATTTCACATTTTCATATTATTCTTCGAACTATATCAACATTAAATGGTAACTCATGGTAGAGCACTTGATAGTGACTTGTAGAGTCGGTACCCACCTACCAAGAAGTGGCAGGTTAGGTTGATAAAAATCAAACTCATTTTAAAACAGGTCTTTTCAGCCTGTAACTACCAAGACTGAATTGCAGTGGGCTCACTCGCAAGGTTGGCGAGTTAGCCCATTTTATTTTATTTTATTTAAAATTTTTCTCTTGTCAAATATAATTATATTTACTCTTTTGGTCCTTTATCTCATTCTCATTATTTAAAATTATCATAATGTAATAGATTTTTCATTTTTTATTATGAATTTTATTTATGGCAAAGTTAGTTGAGCAAAAAGAAGATGGTTCTACTTATCAAGCTCAACCAAATAATTTTACATTTTCATATCATTCTTTGAACTATATCAACATTAAGTGTTGGCTAATGGTTGAGCACTTGATAATGAATTGTAATATTGTGTTTGTATTATTGTTGATTTAAATTTGTTATATTTTAATTTGGAATGTATGTTTAATCATTTAGGATGATGTATCATGTATGTTTAATAGTCGTATTTTGGAATGTTTGGAACTTTGGATTTCATATTTTATTTATGATAATTTCTATATGTATATTTTATTTTAGATGTTTAAGAATTGAAATAGATTTTATTAAAAGAAAACAAAAGGCACCAAAAAAATTTTAAAAAAAAGTGGCGGGTTGGCAGGCCTAACCCACCAATCCACTCTAACAGGTTGGGCTAGTAAAATATTAGCCTGCCAGAAGTCGATCTTTTTAGGACTGGCTTGTCCATCCTTAAGCCCGTCACAGGCCAACCATAATCAGCGGGTTGGCTTGTATTATCGGTTCTAATGATTTGTAATATTGTGTTTGTATTATTGTTGATTTAGATTTGTTATGTTTTAATTTGGAATGTATATTTAATCATTTAGGATGATGTACTATGTATGCTTAATAGTAGTATTTTGGAATGTTTAAAACTTTGAATTTCCTATTTTATTTATGATAATTTATATATATTATTTTACATGTTTAAGAATTGGAATAGATTTTATTAAAAGAAAACAAACAACACAAAAAAATTTTAAAAAAAAGTACCGGGTTGGCTCAACGCACCCTAATGGGCAAGGTTGGTAAAATATCAGCCTGCCAGAAGTCAGTTCTTTTAGAACCAACAGCCACAGGCTAACCCATGACCAGTGGGTTGGCTCGTATTATCACTTCTAAGCAAGAAGAGGAGTTTGATTATGATAATTAGGCTTGCCCCTTCTTGTTTTGTACTGACTTGTTTGATGAATACAGTTTCATTCAAAAAAAAAATCATCTACTTTTTCCTTTTCAACACTACAAATATTACTTGCCATGTCAATCCTCTCTCTCTTGAGCACACCCATGAAGCCACAGTGATTACCTGCTCCTTCCATATACTCCTTTGAGTCTTATTTAGAAATATATTTTTATTTCTACATATGCCTAATAAAAAAAATGAAAGAGAATATGTAGAGAATATATTAGAATATGTGGGGAATTTAAAATAATGCCACCACTCACATTTTCTACATCGTTTATATAACCATCTGCATAAAAAGGCCGATGCAAAAATAATATTTTGAACTAGTGTGATTACACAAATTATACTTCATAACATAAAAAGGGTTCCAACTTCCGTATCATTCATAATAATCCAAATACATATGTTTGTAATTATAAATAATGTCAATAATCATAGTTTCACATAATATAGTTTTAGCTTAGATAAATCATCATAAACATCCTATTAATTAGTCTGCTGTGCTCAATAAATATTAAAATGGCCAAAGATTTGCCGATATAAAGCAGTGATCATATAAACACGCTGGAGAGAGGAATAGTAATATCGACACATTATAGCTAAGCCTCTGATGCTTCCCACTTTGTTCAACTTGAACCCTCGAGTTAAGTGAATTCAATATGGAATAATACTGAAAAATCTCAGCAACCAATAAATAGTTCGCCTAGATGCATGCATATTAAGATTAACTAGCAAATGCTCCATACACTATCAAGTTCTAGCATAAATGGATATAAAATCAAACACAATATTATGATGAAGCAACAAATTCTACATTGACAACACTTTCTTAACAGACAAATTAAAAAGTAATCTTACCCAGCTGTTACACTTGTGACACATTCCTAAAGATTTCTCTGTAAACATTTCTTGTCTTTGTATTCGTACAACTTCCACTCTCATTGATAACAATCTTCAAACCTTTAATGGATCTAATTCTTGACAATGCAACATACAATTGACCATGAGTAAAAACTGGCTTTGTTAGAAATAAAACGACATAATTAAGTGATTGCCCCTGACTCTTGTTTATTGTCATTGCAAATGACAAGGTAATGGGAAATTGTCTTCTCTGCATGCGAAATGGCCATCTACTTTCTGAAGGATTCATATCCATTCTATGTAACAGGACCTTCTCATTTGGTCTAGATCCATTCAAGGTGATAGCTTCTATCACTGTCTTTCCCAACTGTGATATACGGAGTCTTGTACTATTGCATGGCCTAGACGCTTGATTAATGTTTCTCAAAAGCATAATAGGTGCTCCAACCTTTAGAGAAAGCTTATGGGGTGGAAGACCTGAGCAATTTATGCTATTCAGGAACTCAGTAGTGTACAAATTATCAAAGAAGTCACTATCTTCTGATGATCTACAAACTGTGTCACAACTTAAGTACCCAACAGATTTACCAGGCAGTAGAGAACACATATATTCATTTATTTCATTCACATACTCAATTGTTGCAGCCAATATGGCCCTATCAGTGAAGTAATCATTCCTGGAGAAATTATTACGGAGATCAGAATAAGTGGACGACACAATTTGTTTAAATGGGTTAGTGTAATTTGTGAGTAAGAATTCATGTGGTATCTCGATCTCTACTACTCCATCATGGGGAAGTCCTAAATTTCCATCTCCAACATCAAGCAACCATTTTGAGAACTTCTCCAGTGAATACATTCCTTGATTAATTGAGGAGGAGTTCAATCGCATGTTCCTTGTCGATCGAAAAACAGTGCAATGATTCCATAACAATGAAGAAGTAATACATGCATCAACAATAGTTGCCCTACTGCCTTTAGGAATGACTGGCAAGATTTGTCTAAAATCACCACCCATAACTATGCATTTCCCACAAAACGGTTCTTGACAGTGCATGATATCCTTAAACGTACGGTCTACCGCTTCAACACAATAACGTTGAACCATTGGCACTTCATCCCAAATAATTAACTTTGTGCACTTAATTAAGTGACCTAAAGGAGAATTTTGCTTGATAGAACAAACTGAAGAATCATTAATTTGAATTGGGATTGCAAACCTTGAATGTGCAGTTCTTCCAGAAGGTATTAATGTTGCTGCTATTCCACTTGATGCGACAGTTAATACAATATTGCCTTTGGCATGTAACGCATATGTTAATGCGTTCCACAAAAATGTCTTCCCTGTTCCTCCATAGCCATAGACAAAGAAGAATCTACCCTTGCAATTATTAACAATCAACGAAGACATCACCCTATCAAATATTTCTTTTTGCTCACTATTTAATGACCTAATTAACTCTTCAGCCTCTAAATGTAAGGATTCCCTATCATAATTCAATTCTTGTAGAATGAACTGATTTGAAACATCAATAGTTGGAACATCAACAGGCAAAGGAAGAGAAGGAAAGTCATTAAGACTCATTCCATTTGCTTTCAACAACTTATCAATTTCATTAAGTGCAGTATGTTGCTTATCCAATAATGGAATGTGATGACCTAAAAATGCAATATAACAGTGGATAAGTAATGGAAAGAGAAAGTGGAGGCATCGTTAAGTTGAGAATAAAAGAAAGGATGATGAAAGGAAATGATTAAGAAAAAGAAGTCAAGGATGGGGTGACTACAACACCACACAACATCTTATATAGGAAATAGAATGGAGCCAAATCAGTTAACGCACCCTTCTATGTAGGCTTGGTAATATTCTGATGAGATGGCCCACATCATAATATTTCTTCATTTATTCATTATCATTTCATTGTTTCATTGATCCTAAAAACTCCATACAGTATGATATGTCACTATTACCTTTCCCTCACCACTACCAAGTGAACCTGAAATGAATTTTTGAATATGAGTACAATTTATTCTAAAATAATTATTATGACATAACAAATTAATATCCTTCAAGGAGATCACTAAAAGGATTAGTGTTCCCAATAATTTAAAATAACCATTGTTATTAACAGAATGTTAATGTTAATGTTAATAGAATAATATATGATACATTGTGCAGTACTGTAAACTATTTCCTACATGTTGACAGAAATATGAATCTACTTAAATGTGTAAAGCATTTCACTCTATATAGTCTTGCTTGACGGGCTAAAGACACCAATAATCGGCCCAGTAAATATGATGTTAACATATACCATCACAGAGGTCCAACCCAAATATCCATAAGACATGAATTGTGGTTTATAACAGGCTGGGCTACACAAGTTCTAAAGCCGACATATAGTCATGCTTTTTTAAACCATGATGACACCAAATAGTCCAAGTGAATCCAAGTAAATACATACAATAAACAATAAACATAATTTCCATTTTCATTGTTACTAAACATGATACAGCACAAACCTATTGTAATAATAGCAACATCTACAATTATCATAATTTAGGAAAAACCAAATGGAACCAAACACTGACAATAAATTCAAACATGACATACAAGCAAAAACAGACAGAATACCTTATACCCTTCCATCAATGATGCCCAAAAAAAGAAGGATTAAAACCTATCCCATCACACCTATAATGAACCTACAACAACTATTAACTATTAAGTATCAATTTAAAATATACATGCAACTTATTAGTACCATCCCATATTAGTACACATCTGATGAGACAGCAAACCAAATCTCATTCAATACATATGAAAACTACTGACCATGCATTTTAAAATATGTTTCCATCTCAACGTGTTGCTAATATCAAAGCATATTTGAGGAGGCTAGCATCTAAATCTCATTAAATGCTGTGACAAACAGACCTTCTTTTTCACCACAATGATGCCAAATAGTGGAAGTGAATGCAGGTGAATATAAACAATAAACACAATTGCCATTGTTACTAATTCATGATAGATGACAGGCCTATTATAATAATAGGAACACCTACAATTATGATCATTTAGGAAACACTATATTGAACAAAACACTGACCATAAATTCATAGATGACATATAAGCAAACAGAGACAAAATACCTTATACTCTGTCATTAATACTGCAATAAAAAGTACAATTTGACCTTCTATTATAGCTATAATGAACATAGAAAAACTTTTTGCTGTTAATGCCTATTAAAAACATTGGCCTGACATTTAAAAATATACCTGCAGGTTAACATGTCCTATAAAATATCAATGCACATTTGTGTTGGCTCGCAACTGAATCTTGATCAACACTTTCAAGAAATAGGGCAGAATGAGACAGGTCCATACATAAATAACAAAAAGCAGTCCACACGAATAGAAAGAGGCAGCTAACAAAATGACAACAAACCCAAATTAGAACATCATTTAAACATTTACAAGAGGAAAAGTACTGCCCACATATTCGATAAAACATCACCCATCGTTCTTATCAGGGTGGCCACAATAAATTCTACAGCTGACAAATAGTCCCTTTTTTTGAATTGTAATGATGTCAAATAATCCAAGTGAATACAATACTTAACACAATTGTTGTTGTTCACATTTCATGATACAGCACAGAGCCTTTATAATAATAGCAGCGGCTACAGTTATGATAATTTAGGAAACACCTATTGGAACTAAATACTGACCATAAGTTCAGAGCTGACATACAAGTGAACAAAGACAGAATACCTTATACTACGCATTAATGATGCAACAAAAGTAACATTTGAAGGCTAACATGTTCCATCACATATCAATGCACATTGTCGCATGGTGGCATCTGAATCGCATTCAATGCCATGTCAGATAGTATCAAATACTGTACAAGAAAAAAAAAAGCAGAAGCATTAATGACTCATTAGACTATGAGTACATTTCAATACTTGCGTTGTCAGCCTCAGCCCTATAAAGCCAAGAAAGTATCTCACTGCAAACCATCTACTAAATAGGAAAGTGAATTTATGAACAAACAACCAAAAGCTAACTTCACCCTAAATACATAAGATAGAAATGACATATACATGCCAGCATAAAGGTGAAATTGTCTGAAAAATGCAAACCCCCATGTACACAGACAACTGACATCAAAATTTCTTATTTGATCCTTTTATTGAACCATTAAATGAAAAAATTGTCACGTAAATCTTATAGAGATGCTTCCTTTGCTTAAATTAATCATCAACAATAATATTGACAAAACTACATAACAATTAAAGGAATCAATATTAGATATAAGTAGAAAACTTAATAGATGATTTAATGTAGCCTAACATTTAAAAACCTTACAGTCATCATAGGCTGTGCTGGCTTACTGCCTATATTTATTAGCTCTATAAACTTATGCCAAAAGGGAAACCTTGACTAAAAGTAAAGAAGGTAACAGAAATGCATTTCAATAAAGATGCCCAGAAAAAGATTCCACCACTGTTGGACAATGTTGACTGCCATATTGCAACTGCTATAATTACTTTCCCTAATTGTGAAAACTTATAAAAGAACTGAAAAGGCAAAAAAAGGCACCCCATGTGAAGATAAGACAACATATGTTCAGTCAAGTCACATCAACCATTAATACAAAGTAGAAAAATCTTTGATCTATACCATGACCTGGCCACCAAGCTCCATCGTACTTATATTCTACAACCCACAGATGATAAATTCATTTCATCATAGCAAATTAACTATCCTAGGGATGAATATCCTTTACCCATTCAATGAGGGCCACCTATATTCTCAGCTGAGAAGATCGCGCAGTAAAGGCTTTATCTTCATCCGAATCACCTATGGACCACTTCAAGTGTCTACAGGGCCAGACCTCCTCAACTCAGGTATATCCTTACACATCACTCAAACAGGGCAGACTTGCGAAAGTTCAGTAACATGGTTTGGTTCACAATATGTTATGTTTCGGTGCATTTATGGGATCATGAGGAATGAAGGCTTCTGTTGTCCCTCATGGGATATTAATGAACCAACATTGATCAGAAGAAACAATAGGTACTTGACATGGATAAGAATGTACAGCCAGTTTTGCTGGGCTGATTACCTTAATAATTCAAGGAAACCTCTCCTTGTATTTAACTTATGGTCTGAAACCTACATGAAGATCACTCCTGTTCGTAGAAGGTGTAGAAGACTCTTGGTCACAACACTCTTATCTGCATATCTGACCATCCAAGAGAACATATCAAAAATCGAAGATAATCAGTCCCAACACAATGAGACTTCGATTTCAGTAGATTGAGCTAGTATGGTTAATGCTCTAGTGGTGGACTACGAACGAATTCTCCCGTCATCTTTAGAAATTGGCATTGAGCTTGAATTCGTTGGGTGTGATTAAGAACCCCAACAGTAATTAGATCTAGCAACTTCATCCTCTTAATGTGAGTTAATGCTTTTTTTCCCACTCATGTACTGAATTTAGGTGACTAGCGTGTTATTTGTCTCAATGCATATTTGTGGATTTCATTTTCATGGACTTTTTATGACATCCTAACTACATGACCAATGTAAACACAAAACACAAACCAAATCATATGCACGTAAAAAATAGAGTTCCTCTGTCGCCAAATTCAGTTTTAAATTTATAATTATTGAGTTTAAGCTTCTTCACATTAGATTCTCCATACGTTAAACACAACATATTATTTAAGGGAATTAAGGTTAATATTTACCAAGAACAACTTACCAAAAAAATCATTTCACACCTGTGAATGTATTTCTTTAAACGAAATTTTAATATATGCATCTTAAGTTAAATATCCTTTACCTAATATCATTCACAGATTAAACTGTTGTGAGTTGTTTATTCTATCAATAATTTCCATCACACAAATCACACCAAAATTATAAGCAAGATCAACTTGGAAAAATATTTCTGTGAATAAATGTAGATGTTTATTCGAGACAAACACAACCTTCTAGTGGTACTAAGATCAATTGCATCGGTGCAGAAAAATGTTTCCAAACAAATATTGATAGTTTACTGTGATGAAAATACCTCTTATATAACTCATAATATCACATTTCTAGGTAAAGTGTCACAAACATTACTTGTACGCATATATGGCCTTCTAATACAAAGAACAAAGCAGGTTATTGTCCAATAGCCTTCTTCGGATTGTAAGAAATATCTGTAACCGAAGGCAAAAACTATTCAATTGCCTATGTAAAAAATTCAGAAAAACCAAAACAAACAGATATAAATATAACTGTCATGATAAAACACCAATATGGGAATAGAACTATAACTGTAGTTAAAATAATAAAATATCAAACTGTGAATAGCCGAATGATGAGTATTAAACCACTAAGATGCATTAGCAGGTAACAAAATATTAACCCAAACTTGAAGTACTATCAACCACAATAAACTAAATCGTAATAATTATAACATAGTATTTTGCAAGAGCCATAAGTTGCAGCCATCAAAAAAATATTAACTTATACACAACACTTGGCTGCATTTAACAAAAAGACAAAGATTCAGCAAAAAAAGCTCCATCCTTGCTTCCTGAGTCTTTGGCCAGCTCTCATCCGTGAAAACCCTTGTGGCATCGAAGTATAAGTGCAACATGGGACCACCTGCTTAGTAAAATCATACTATCCTATGGATGTAAAAATATAAGGCATAACCATAAACAAAAAGTCTCACATACTGAGATTCTGCATACCTTGAGAGCCATGACCCATTGCAACAACATACTGAACCACAACAAAAAGATTTTCATCATCCATGTGTCCCTCAAACTTGGCCAGTGCAGTCTCCACCAAACCACCGTGCAGCATCATAGTCACCTCATTATTACTACAGAGAGAAATGAAAGAGATAGCATTACAACTGGAAAAAAAAGCATGAAAAAAAATTGAACCAAACAAAGATTGAATGATATGTGAGAATAGCCGATATGTTAGACACTCAACTGAGAATCCCTCAGCACCAAGATCGCAGCTTTAGAGTTAAGACCTTCCCATTTGGATAACTCTGTCTCAGAAATGAACTTGAATATCCCGTAGACATCTAGATATATGAAATGGAAAAAAAAAATAGTTGTTGAATATACCACCGTATTTGTTAAATATAACTTAAACATAACATAGGAATCGATCACAAAAAAATAATGCATCCAACCCAGACCTATCAAACCCCAGTCTGCAGGGATACCCCACAGAACATCAAATATACGCATGAAAGAAACACAATGGGCTGGAAAGATGTCAGTGCCTTCAATGATCAACGTCCTCGTCATAGCTACCAAATGAAATGAGTGATGAACACCCTCACCCCCTAACTTCACAAGAAACCCAGCAACCTTGTAACAACAACCATTCAACAGTCTCCATGCATTCCTATCAATGACTTCATCGCTCAATAGCCTTAAAAGGATCGTGGTGTTCTGTACATGTATTCCGACAAGGTGGCATTAGATAGTGGTGTGAAGGAAAAGAGAAAAGAAGGAAAAAAATGATGTGAACTTACAGGTCCATCGAATAAAACTAGATCCATCGACTCCAGAACTTTGATAGGCCTCTTGTGATAATAAGACTTGACCAAGGAAAAAAAAACCGGACTGGACCAGCCGGTTCAACCAGAAAACCGGTGAACCGGTCTGCAGTCTGGTCCGGTTTAATTGGTAAACCGGTAATCAATCGAACCGGTGAAAAACCGGTTCAATCGGTGGTAACTGGTATAGAACCGGGTTATCCCGGTTGGCTAGGTTACCGGTTCTTCTTTGTTTTTTTTTTGCTTCCACTATTCCCATGTCGAGCATCGTCGACCAGCTTCATCAAGTAATCTGACAATAGAAGAAATGACACATCCACCCACAAGAAGTAGCACTCATATCTCAACTCTGATGAGATCAAATTCGATGACGACGACCCATCGAATACATTTATCTGGGGGTCGAATCGGTCCGCAAGCAGAGCGTGAATGAACGAGTTCGACCCACCAACGACGATGGGAATCTCCCTCCTAGAAGTAATGTCGGAGATGACAGAGCCAAGGCGCAAGCAAAAATCTAAAGGCGTGAACTCTCCGTTTTGTGGGTCGACATCGCCGAGGAGATGATGAGGGACGCCTTTGCGCTCGTCAAAGGGGATCTTGCAAATCAATACGACAAAGATGCTAAGCTATTAAATGGGACCCACAAGTCTCATGTTCATTCAGCCCGTGAGGTAATTTTGTGGCTTCTTATTTTTTTTAGTAATTATTATTTACAAATTTTGTTTTATTTTAATATTATGAATTAAATTATATTATTTTAATATGACTGGTCCGACCCCGGTCTGACCTCAGTCCGACCAATAACCCTTAACCCACTGTCTCGACCGGTTTAATTCCCGGTCCGGTTTTTTGTTCCTTGGACTTGACCACCACCTCCCGATTTATTATCCTATCCAACTTCACACTGAGGACTCTATCTTCTGTTCCTTCAGTCAACTGAGAAATCGTGACAGCAGGACCGAACGCTATCTCAACAACCTCAACAGGAGAAGAATATAGACAGTAAATGTGACCAGAGTTAAGGTGTCAACAACACATACATGTATATGTAGAGAGGAGAATGTTCTTTAGATGGGAAGGAGAGAAACGACCAAAAGGAGGAGATGAATCTGTGAAAAGCTTCAGTAACTCGGTCTATATATTTTTAACACATTAAATGGAGAACTATAAATGCTCACCAAACATACCTGTTCAAATCGAAATCGAATCAAAACAACTCTGAAGTATGAGACGGATCAGTTAACAGGTAGATAAGTCGTACCCTATTAAAATGTGTATCAGTGAACGGACACGATGCGAAGCAGTTCAATATCTCGGTGAAGGAATTATTATGACATTTATGGTACTCCATTAATGATCACCAAACATACCTGTTGAAATCCCTTTGAAATCTAAGGCGCATCAGTTCACAGGCGAAAAAGACGTCCTCCATTAAACTAAAATGTATAAACTGAATATAAGAACAGAAAGGGTCGTTAGCAGACGAATCAAGTACGAGTTCCTTCAACAAAAGATTAGAAGAACAAATGAAAGGAGCACATAGAATGAAGCACACCATCACAGCAAACACATCATGAGGAGCAGCAACCGGGAATATCAGCGCACACGCATTACGAAGATAGAGAAACTGTCCAATCGGAGAAACAGTGACTAACTATGAGCCAGTATTGGCACGCAGCCCAACATTGGAGAGAACATCGTCATCAGCTAACACAGAGCCATATATAGATAATGTCACTTTCAATGAGCCGAAAACCATCTTGTGAACAGTGAAACAGGTGAGGAGCCAATACTAAGGGGTGTTGGCGCACGGCTTCGTGGGGAATAGATTTATAGTAAACATTGATACGTTCGTAGGGTGGGAATACAAGACATCAATAAGGCTTTAACTCTTCCTAACACGAAATATACATGATCAGCAAACACTTCTGCTATAATATTTAAAACTGCTTAATATGAGCATTTTTACATAAGTCGATATAAAATTTTTTTTACATAATTATCTTGTATTTTGTAAATAATAATTGAAATTTTGTTTTTAAAAGCTCTAATTGTGGTTATTTTGACTAAATATCACATGTCCTGCCATTATATAGGTCAAAAGAAAAATGGCTTGAGCCTATCTACACTACTAAAAAAACCATTTTTCACACCACATTATCTATGTCGATTTTAGTGCCAACAATGTAACAAATGAGGTGGTGACATTTTTTAAATAACGATTGCAATCTTCACACCAGTTATGAGCACGACCGATGTAGTCCTTATTATTTACAACAAATATTAACCCAACTAATGTAACTTCTCCTTCAAAACATCAGTTATTATAAATAATCAGTGTTTGAACTGAATAGGTGTGCTTCTTTTGTTTTCTTTTTTTCTAAAATAATGTGTTTGATTTGAAATGTCATCATATCTTGTCATCTGTCCATTTAAGGTCAAAATCCAACTCTTCTTCCCTTACTATTGTCATCAAATTCAACCGTTGATAGCCCCACAATCATGAAGCAGCAAGACACTCTCCTAGTGTGTCCTCCTTCCTAACCCCCCCACCTCCTGCTCCACCTCTTCCACATCAATCGTTTGACCAGCTATTGACAAAAATAGTTGAGATTGAGTGTGGCCTTTGTTGTGTGGTCTCTTACTTCTATGCTCTTAACAACAAAGTAAACCTCCTACCCAATAACTGGTTTTCAATATTATAATTTTAATCGATGTAAAAGACTTTTTTTTTCTAATAGCGACATAACCATCAACTTGTTCTAGTGATACCATACTGTGTGATACCATGCATAATCTCCACGTAATTCCACAATATAAATACGCTCGAAGTTGCAACTTGGTCACTCCTCTATTAAAATCTTTATTCATGCATCTTTCTTCTCATTTTCATTTCTCTTTACTTCTTCATAGTTTTAATGTTATTTGAAATTATGGTTTTCTTTGTTATCTAAACTAATTTAATATAAAGTTAAAATAATATGAATTTGACTAAAAAATGCATTGAAAAATTTTATCTGACTTGGTTATATTATTATGGCTAAAAGTTATCTAAATATGTTGTTTTTTGCATATATTTTTAGAATATATTAGTTTAAAAATGACTCAATCGACTTAATATTTGGTTATTAAGACTAAATATATACTACATCTGATTTTTAACATAAGAGTTATTTGACTAATTTAAGTACATTAAAAAATTTAATTTAATTAGTTATTTGTTATAAATATATGTTGTTTTTCTTAAAATATCTCTACCAATCATATGTATTAGTTAGAACTATCATTTAATAAAATTTTTAATATTTGTATTAAAATAATGGCCACTTTAAAAAATAAAAATAAACATAAGGCATAAAATATATTGTGATTTTATATTCAGAAATAAATAAAACCAGCTCAATATGAGAATCAGTTTTAAAAGACATACGCTTATCTTTGTGTTTACTTATGGTAAAACCTAAAAACAAGTGAATCCACAGTTACACATCCGTGGTGGATTGATCAATATCCTCCTTTGTTGGCAAAAAAGATCAATATCCTCCTTAATATCATTGTAAAGAAAAACGTTTTCGAAATTCTCATACCTCACGAGGATGCATTGGGTTCTTCATCGCCTTTTTTGAGTGCGTACAAGCCCAGAGTTCTAACGCAAAATCAAACTGGAAAACACATGTTGTCATCCAAGAGATAGCGCAGAGAGAGGGGAATCCGAGCATACAGTATATACCTCTATATAATTATTCCTTGATGTAATCTCCATATCTTCACCTTAATACTTTATCTGTCTAATTTTCTTCCTGCCCCATTTTCCATCTTCTCTGCCAAACGCAGTCCCTCTCTTTCTCTGCTCATTTCTTGCATTCATCTCCCGCGAAGGTTCAATCTTTCATGGCTTCGATCACGGCTACGTGGTCTCCGAGCTCTCTCCAGCTCCGATTAGCTTTAAAATGTGGGAATCGAAGGAAATACCCGGCGACTTTACAGTCACGAGTGGGCAACTGGGACCGTCGGTTTCGCCTGCTGTGTGTTGCTCAAGACGGAGGAGGGAATGGGAATGGGAATGGATTGGAGAGGACTCCTATAGAGGGTTCGTGGGTCGGGGTGGATTCGAAGATTGACGGCTTTTCTGGGTGGTCCAATTCAGAGGGTGAAGAACAGTCTGCCAATTCTCACAAGAAGTCACCATACGGAGGTGAGGGTAGCTCTGGAACTATTTGATCTCTCTATACTTCTTTATGGCGGTTGAAAACATTGGAAAATTTTTGGACTGGTTCATAGGGTGCATTGTCTATGTTATTGGCCACTGGCTTAAGATCGAGATGTGAAGAAAAACTTATTGAATGTCTTCCAATATCGAAGGGATTGTACTGAGCGGAGTTCTTTTGTGACTTGTTTCTGAATCTCCATCATCTCTGCGTGTTACATATATATATATATATATATATATATATTTATATATATATATTATCTTACTGATGGTTTTTCATCATCTTTTTCAGAAGAACTGGCCATTGACGAGATTTTGTAAATCATATGTTCTTTGTGAAATGCATGGTTACTATACTGCCCTTGCTGGGATCGCTTTGTTACTAGACTAATTTGCATGTAGTTCATTCTGAATTGGAAGACTCTGGCTTGTCGGAATAAATTTTAATTCGAAAAAAGGTGAAAGATGTATGCATGCAGTTATGGGTCCGAAATTCTATGTACAAGACAAGATTTACTAAACCTATGACATTTTGCTACACATAGCTGTTCCACAGTTCCATTTGTAATCTATTTCAATAGACTACTTATCACTTTTGAAGTAGCTTGCTTTCAGGAGTTGTGGGAGCAGGAGTTGCTGGAGTTCTCCTTCTTACAGGGCTGACCTTTGCAGCCTTTTCTCTCAGTAAGCGAAATATTTCCAGTAAGTAGTCTTTATTTGCTTTTTAAATATGAATAACTTGCGTCATATAGGCTTGTAAGTTGACATTGGCTTTTAGCATTTTTGGAATTGATAATGATGTAATTTTTAGTTATTTCTATTTTAATTATTTCATTGTTCCCTTATGTCCCTAATTATAATGACCTTAGAATCCCTTCCCTTTTTGTCTGTAAATACTTCTGTAGTTGCCTCATTCTATATACATCTGAAGTGAGAATCTCAAATTTTTTGTCATAGCATGTGAGCTTGGCTAGAGAGGGACACAAACCTTGATAGTTTTCAGGGTTGGAGCCTATTTAGCGAAGCTCTGCTCCTTCTCCTCCAGTCAGCCTTTTTCCAGTGATCAATGCAACTTTTAGCATCACTATTCCCTTCATTGCTATTGAAGCAAGCTTTTGCTGTTTGTCTAGTCCTTTTCTGATCCAAACACTTCAATAACCTCCACAAACTTGCCAACTGGCTAACTTATGTTGATGAGACCAACTTTGTACTCCAGAAGTGCTGTCACGGTCTGCCATGGAATAACCAGAAGTGGTCACTGACCTTCGTTTGGTCTATCCCAGTCCTTTACCCTCCTTAGTTGGGCCTTGTTTGTGGTTTTTGATACTGTAATCCTATGTGCTTCATTTTTTGGTTGGTGACATCCTTTGTTCTTCACCTTTGTCACCTTCCGAATCTTCCTCAATGAAATAAATTTTGGGGCTGTTGGATGCAACATGAACAAGCTATCAACTTGTGCAATTGCCTCAACCATGAAACGCAAGATGTTATTGGCCTTTCTGGCAAACGCTCAGAGTCTCGTTTGTGGCCTTCATCAATATTTTGACACTACCCTTTTCACTATTAATAGTATTCATTGCCTTTTGTTTGTTTTAGTGATGACCACCATTTTTCTTGGATATCTTCTCTGTTTGTATTGCTACAAGGACAACTTTTTGCCGTCTATGGCTTTCATTAGCTCCGTCCATTGTCACTAGGCTTTTTTTATACTGTTTATATAGCCTTCAATTTTTCTGGGATGCAACCTTTTTTTTCTTTTTGCCATTTGTGGCCTTCATTGTTATGTTTCTTTTGCTGAGGAACTTGCAGATGTGGTTCCAAAAGGGTTATTTAATTTTGTCTTCTAGAACTCAATCATCAAGCTTCGCATGGAGGATTACCATCACTGCCTTGAGGGAGAGAGTGTTAAGACTGTTAGGATTGTAGATATTGTATTCATTAGTTCTTTCTATTTTGGTTATGCCATTAATCATTATTCTCTAATGTCCCTGATCATAATTTGTCATAGAGGCGTCACCCTTGCATCTAGAAATAATCACGTAATTGCTGCATCCTATATACACCTGCAGTGAGAATTTCAGACTGTTTTGTAATTACCTTCTTTAGATCATACCCTTACATGACCAAATTTACATTCTACATATTAAACATACTAGTTTCTGTATGACTGTTTGCAGGAGCGAAACAGAAAAAAATGGAGCCTCTGACAGTGCAGCAGGAGACAGTCTTGACTTCTGATGATCATAATAATGAAGTTACGGGACATGTGAATGCAAACAACAAGGTGGAACCTGAAAATGGCAACACGGAAGATCAAACAGATATCTCCAGGGATGGTACAGCTCCTGTGTTTGATCAGATTCCCGGCAACAATGGAATTGCTGACCATTCTGATTCAGGTTCCAAATTGCTATATGATCATGAAAAGCTTGTCAATGGCACAAATGCATCCAGTCAAGAAGTGTTGCCACACGAGCCAGATTTTGACAATGACTTGGCTGTTCCCAATTCTGATCCCGGGCCACTCAGCATTCCTGAATCAGAAAATGCTGTTCACTCTTCCAGTCATTTTGGACTTCAAGATTTTGATAGCAACCAAGCTATAGATTCTGCAGTATCAACTGCTGAACTTGAAGAGAACCCAGTCAACGTTGAACCAGTGAACAACTATGATGCTGATCCAATACCCCTCAATACTGAGCAGAAGGATGAACTGACTACCTCAAATGGCAGTGGAAGGTCCACAATTCCAAAAAGTTCTTCTAGTTCCGTTGCCGAGCCACCCAATAATATTGACACTGTTAATGTTGCAGTCAATACACAGACAAGTACCATTCCAGATGTTGAAACTTATCCTCAAAATGATATAGAGAACTTGAACAAAATGCCACAGGTCTCAGCTGATGCAGATGAGTCATCTCTGCAAGAGCAGATTTCTGACAAGCATCAAGATAGAGACAGTCTTATTGAGACAAGCAAAATTCAATCTGAATCTCCTAATTCTGGCGTCTTTTTCTCTTCTCCTGGTATTCCTGCTCCATCAATAGTTTCAGCAGCTGTACCTGTGCCTCCTGGCAAGGTTCTGGTTCCTGCAGCTGTTGATCAAGTTCAAGGACAAGCACTTGCAGCATTGCAAGCATTAAAGGTATATCCTTGCACTCATTTTTTCAGAGAGGATAGTAACTCTAATATTTTTTTCTGAAGCAAAAGAAATGCTGCCAAGAATTTTGAAAGTCGCATTAATGGATTTGTTGTAATTATATCACTTATTTACTTCTATTATTTTTTATTTTCAAGATATCAATAAATGATTTTTGGAAATTTAAATTAGGATGGCTCTTCAGCCTTCTCTTAACATTTCCAACTTGAGCAAGAATGCTTTATTTCAAAGCTCTTAGATCAAGTGGCCAACAGTTTAATAATTAATAGTTTTCTAATTAAGTTAAATTTCAGTACAAGGCATTGGCAGGCCTGTACTTAATATGTGCTTCAAGCCCGAAGGATATTCACATTGGGCTATGTTTAAAATATAGGTGAAAGGGACAAAACTAATTTTGGGATTCTCCCAACAGCTTAAGCTTTTGGGTGCAATGATTCCTTGACAATATTAGTATAATCCATTAATTGAAGAACCAGACCTTTGGCCAGACCCATTAAGGTGCTAATGACTCGGTTTGGATTAAAAAAACCGTTTTTATGATTGACTCAAGTTGGACCAGAGCCTAGGTGCCATTGAGCCAAAACCATAAATTAGATTGGGAACTGGAATATTTTTAGAAAATTGGATCCTTTTTCGGCCTGGTGGAAAAAGTGCTGGAAAAAAAAAAAATTAAAAACCTATACAACAACAACAAAGCCTTATTCCATTAAGTGGGGTTAGCTGTATGGATTGTGAGCTCTATCTAAAGCCAAAACTTTGGATATATTGTTAATTGAAAGATTTCATTCAATAACTTTATTAAGTGTTGTCTTTGGTCTTCCTCTACTCTTTTTTAGAGGACTCTATACTCTTTGGTCAATGCTTCTCACTGGCGCATCCAAAGGCCTCCTTTGCACATGACCAAACTATCTCAAACGGTTTTTTTACCATTTTTTCATCAATAGCAGCCACTCCAACTTTTTCACAGATATGTTCATTACGAATCCTGTCTTTTCTTGTATGATCATACATCCATCTCAGCATTCTCATCTCGACAATTGTCACTTTATGTTCATGTTGTCCTTTTAAAGCCCAACACTGACTACCATATAACATTGCTGGTTTTATAGCAGTGCAATTAAAAAAAAACCTTTAAAAAAAATGAAAATAAAATTGAACCTATGAAAAGTCTAATATATTTTCAAACCATTTGTAGCCACATGATGTTATTCCGTTATAAACTTTATATATTGTGGTGTTATTATGTTAGTGATTAGACTTATCATGAATTTATTTCTTTTATATATATATATATATATATATATATAAGTGCATATGGTTATTTTCTTATATGAATTGCTGGCATTTTGAGTTTGATATCCGGTCTAGTTTTTAAAACATTGGTATAATCATAGTAAGATGACAAAATTTTATGTTTGTTTACTTAAAACGACTAAACCTACAGGTCATTGAACCTGATGTTCAGCCCAATGAAATATGCACCCGTCGTGAATATGGTCGTTGGTTGGTCTCTGCTAGCAGTGCTCTTTCAAGGTAATTCTTTTGTTTGTTGATGCTACAACTTTAACATTTGAATAGCAAGAAATGGACTCGGCTAATTATTTTTCGGAGTGTGCATATTGTAGCTATAAATGTGTCTTTTTTGTTATGTTTAGGAGTACAATTTCAAAAGTCTATCCTGCTATGTATATAGAGAATGTTACTGAGCTTGCTTTTGATGACATCACTCCTGAAGACCCTGATTTTTCTTCTATACAAGGTGAGAGTTGATTACTGTAACTGATGTTTAAACAGCATAACTTATCACTAGAAATGACTTTCTTCTAGTATATTATGTCTAAACATTATGATGTTTCAGGCTTGGCAGAAGCCGGACTGATTGAAAGCAGGCTTTCAAGATCTGATACACAGCTGTTTGCAGAGGAAGGCCAGAGGCCATTTTGCTTCTCGCCTGAAAGGTATACTTAGTAAACTCGGATTTCTGATTTATGGTTATCTTTTTCTTTTAGAGCAATGCAATTATCTAAGATGTCCTTATAATTTTTCTCAAAATTTAACTGTTACTCATAATATTTCTTCCTATTTTGTCACAAATGGTGTCTTCTCTTCTGTTTCAGATGTGTTTTCATGTTTAAATCTGACCTTAAGGTTTTGTGTTTCCCTTGTTCTTTTATGTAGCCCATTATCACGCCAGGATCTTGTTAGCTGGAAAAGGGCCTTAGACAAGAGACAACTTCCTGAAGCTGACAGAAAGGTTTGCTATGTTATTGACTTGTCTCACATATAGGCTATTCTTTTATTCTAGTTATCATGTAACTGATGAATTAGTTTGCATCAATTCCATGGACTGAGGGGCAGACACTATACCAAATTTCTGGCTTTATAGACACTGACAGGATACACCTTGATGCATGCCCTGCGCTTGTAGCTGACATATCTGCTGGGGAGCAAGGAATAATAGCTCTTGCATTTGGTGTGTCATTTTTTCCTTCTATAGTCTCTTTTAAAATGTTCCACCATATGGTTTGTAATGATTGTTTTGCTTATTTTAGTGAATCCCCCCCCCCCTGTTCTTTCTTTGTAGGCAGTTTCTTACCTGCTTTTGGTTTGTTTCTTTGTTTCTTTTCATTTTTTGGTGGGGCATGTTCCAGGTTATACACGACTGTTCCAGCCAGATAAGCCAGTAACAAAAGCCCAGGCAGCTGTTGCTCTTTCAACGGGAGATGCTTCTGACATTGTTGGTGAAGAGCTTGCTCGAATTGAAGCAGAATCTATGGCTGAAAATGCGGTTGCAGCACATAGTGCTTTAGTCGCTCAAGTTGAGAAGGATATCAATGCAAGTTTTGAACAGGAGCTTTCCATTGAGAGGGAGAAGATTAATGCTGTTGAAAGAATGGCTGAAGAGGCAACACGAGAGTTGGAAAGGTTAAGAGCTGAGAGAGAAGAAGAAAATATTGCCTTGATGAAGGAGCGCACTGCTATTGAATCAGAAATGGAGGTTTACTCAAAGCTAAGACATGAGGTTGAGGATCAATTACAGAGCCTTATGAATGACAAGGTAGAAATAACTCATGAAAAAGAAAGGGTTATCAAGCTTCGGGAGCAAGCAGAAGTTGAAAACAAGGAAATTGCCCGCTTACAATATGAACTAGAGGTAGAACGGAAAGCCTTGTCCATGGCCAGGTAAACTTGTGGGACTAAGGGCAATTAAATTACGTTTGGTCAGCATTCACTGGTTCAATTTTGGTTTCGATTCATGCAAATTTTAAACGCAAAGATAATGTAAGAAGCCTGCTTGTGAAACTTTGCTTCCACTTTGCTGAAAGTGTTTTGCAAATTTACTGCAAAATTTTCCTGTCACATTCCTTACAGCTGAAGTGTCTGGAGATCAATTGTCCAGTTACTTGTAAATGCTTTTGGTTTCTTACCATATGAACTCAAAACCCCATGTCTCGTAATATGTTTCTTCAAATTTAAGTGATTTTTCAAGGAAAAGGGAATTGCAGATGTTTGTTGATGTTGAATGTTAAAATCAATTCGATTAGTGCTTAACATTTTTATTCTCCCTCACTGTTGCTTGTCAAGACTGTAAAGTTTAAACTGATTTGGAATGCAAAATAGAGCAATTTTACTTGTGCATTTGGCGTATTATGTAATTCTGATTCCTGTTAACCTAAACATAGAGACATCATTATGCCTCTTTTTGATTGAAGCATGGTAATCATGTGTCTAGGACTTGGGCGGAGGATGAGGCTAAACGGGTAAGAGAACATGCTAGAGCCTTGGAAGAGGCTCGAGAACGTTGGGAGAGGCACGGCATCAAAGTGGTTGTTGATGATGACCTCCGCAAGGAGGCCTCTGCTGAAGTTACGTGGCTCAATGCAGGGAAGCAGTTTCCAGTTCAAGAAACAGTTCTCAGGGCTGAGAACTTACTGGGTAAACTTAAAAGAATGGCAGCAGATGTTGGAGGGAGATCTAGAGATGTGATTGACAGGATTGTCCACGTGATTTCTCATTTCATATCTAACTTGAAGCAATGGGCATCCAAAACTGGAAAACAGGCTGAAGAATTCGGAGAAGTTGCTGTTGCCAAGGCAGCTAAGTCAGCGCACGAGTTGCGGCAAAGTGCTGTCGAATTTGGATTTTCAGTCAAAGAAGGGGCCAAGCGAGTTGCTGGAGATTGTAGGGAGGGGGTTGAGAAGCTCACCCAAAAGTTTAAGACATAATCTTTCTTTTTCTCTTACAATAACAGAGTTGTTAGCAGTAAGCCAATGATGTACCTTTAATCTACTCAGTCGATGGTTGGTATGCCTTATTGTGTACCAGACATGTCCACGGGAAAATTGGCAGTTCAAACTGTCGCTGGGAAGTTTTCTCAAATTCTTGTGATGTTTTGTATAATTGAGGGTAGTGGGAAATTAAGTGTAACAATAATCTCCTGTATTTTTAGCAGTGTCTTTATTGGTTCCGCTCTGGAGCTCATGTCACTGGGGATTTTCTGTAACAAAATCTTTACCATGTAAAGAATACTAGTCGAAAGTTGCATAATAAACCCCAAACCTTATCTTAATAATAAAGGCGAACTTTATTTATTTATTTATTTATTTTTGTTTTACTGTTGAGCATGAGCGGTCTGTTAATATGCTACTCTTACCTGCCGACTGCCGTGGACCAAGAAATGAAGGAATGATTGGTCAAATTTTAAACAAGGTTGTGAGTACTTGTGGTTAATAGACTACTAGATTTTTTGTCAATCCAACTTCAGTTGGGGAACCGCAATTTGGGAATGGCTCCGGGGATTTCAAAAGAAGCTGGCTTTTACCCAGTCAATTCGTACAGGTTTTCTTGCCCTTTTGACTGGCCTCCAACTATGTAAGCAAGATGTTTTTAGTAAGGTGCTGAGTCATATATACTAATTCATTGGAAACCATCCAACTGATGATGATAGATGGAGGATCTAATTATCCATTAAGAGTAGAGATAAATGCGGCAAGAGATATACTACCTCAGGCTTTTAATATAAAAATTAATTAGATATTTAATTTGATCTTAAATACTACTTTCGGTTATTAATATAAAATCTCGTTTGATTTTTATTTTGGTTCTAAATATAAGATCTCAATCTATTTTGACTCTCATTTATTCATCTTTTTCCAAAAATAGTCCCTCTAATAATGATAATTCTAGCCAATACAATTGATTAATAAAGATGTTTTAAAAAAATTTTATTACAAATAACTAACTTAATTTATTTTCTTAATATACTCAAATTAATTAATTAGCTCTTATATTTAGGATCGGAAGTAGTATAAAACTTCAGTTCACTTTGTGTCCTATATTTTTTTCCCCCCAAAGTAGTCTTCATAAAATGTTTCTATTAAAGAGTAGTTTTAATGCACATGATTGGCCAAAAAAAAAAACAAGAAGAATATTTTAAGAAAGAAAACATATTTATTACAAATAAATAATTTAAGTAATTTTTTTAATATTTATGAATTAGTTATATAATTATTATATTAAAAATAGGAGATAGTATTTAGAATGCACGTTGAAATCAGATATGCACCCCGGAAAACACTTTGCAGACTATCTGGCTAAAGGAGCTCGTCACCTTAGACATGATTGTCATGCAAAGCCCAGTGCCCACGTCCTGGATGAATGCCGTTTCTATTTTGTTTTGTACCTTTCGGGCCTGTTTGGTTTGAGGGAGGGAGGGAGGGAGGGAGGGGAGGGGAGGGGAGGTTTCATCCTCACTTTGTTTGGTTTGATTAAAAAGAAAGGGAGGGGAGGGTATTCAATGATCCCTTGTTTGGTTCAAGGAGGGGAGGGGAGGGATAGTAATAATCAATTTACCATTTTACCCTTATATATTAGTTTATGTTTTTATTGATATATTATATAAATTAATTTACATCTTAATTTAAATTATATAATTTAATCAAAATTCAGTCTTATCATGTTAATATGTGTATTAAAAAATTGGTATAGTAATTTTTCATTCTAATTAATATAATAATATATTTAAAATAATCAAATTAACAAATTTTATATGCTCTAAGAAAAATGAAATTTTATTTTCTTTAGGCTATCTTTTTTTTCCAGCTTTAAAATATATTTAATAAATAATCTATTTATAAAAAACAATTAATTTTATAATATTATAATTTTTTATTTAAATAATTTTTATTTTTAATAATTTTTATAATATATTTTTAATTATAATAATGTATATATTTTTTATTTTTTTACTTAGGATAATATATTTTTTTTTGAAATAAATATTATATAATATATTTTATGGGTAGATGTAGAATATTAAAAAAATCATAAGGGCATAATGGTCCAAAATTTTGACTCCCCTCCAAAAACCCCCAATTTGGAGGGGAGCCAAAATGGGAGGAGGGAGGGGAGGGGACATTTTAGCTCCCCTCCCCTCCAAAATTTTTAACCAAATGAGGGGAGGGGCTCATTTTCCCTCCCCTCCCCTCCAACCAAACACACCCTTCATGTTTTTGAACTTGCTCATTATTATTTTTATTTAAAAAGAAAAAAGAGCTCCATTTTCTTAATTATTGGCAAAGGAAAAAGATTATAATGCTTATACTCTCACCGATGGTGTGTTTCGTTGTATGGAGGCAATAGGAGGGATGGGGTGTTTTTGGTTGAATGAAAGGAATGCGAAGGATGCTAATGACTGGTACAAAGGGTTAGAAATTTTAATGATTCCTTATCTTGATTTATAAAGAAAGAGACGAGCCAACCATAATCGTAAATTATTATACGTTTATCAAATGAGTTTATTGTTTTGGTTGGAAAACAAATAGTTATATTACAATTCGTATCTCCCAAAATGTCAACTTCCACCATAGAAATGTTAAAAGCTTCACTTAATGTAGTACGTAATCCGACATCAGATAATTTTTGGGAAAAAATTGATTTCTTCAATCAAATACTTCTAAATTGAACGCAATGATTGGAGCTTTGAAATGGGTGGAGAATGAAAAAATAGGAGAGATGCACGTTTCATGAGAAGAAAGGAAACTCAGTATATTTAAAGACTTTTAAAATCAATTCAATTTCATAAACTCTATCTACAAACCTCCAATTTTGAAGGTCAACAAAACCCCTACTTCAGTTAACAAAATTTTTAAGCTCTGAACAAAAATTAATTGGCAAAGAACATGACCTAATCAGGAACGTCCCCAGTTAGGAAGCATCATCAACATATATGCATGTGAAAGGATTAAGTTGATTTAACTCATCATCAGGCAGAGACACCAATGGCAACATTCAGATGTTAAAAAATGGTGATGCAGTATACGCTAAGACTTCAAGAAAAAACATTACTATGGTAACCTCCATTTCTCATGTCTCGAGCTAAAAACCAAAATTTCTAAAACAAGTCTCGCTTTACGACAATGAATTAAACAAAACCCGCGGGCAACTACAAGAACTGAAATGACACATTCTAGTAAATTTGGTACTAGAGGACGCAGGTCTCACTTCTTTTTGTCACTGGCTCCACCAGCCCTGCAAAAGGGTGAGGAAAAAAAAACAGTACTCAATATCAACAGATCTATCAACAGGAAGCAAAAATATCATCTGGTACACAGAAAGATTAGAGATAACATCAAGACAAGAACATAGCCAACCTCATCTTTCGGAGCACGTTTGACATCTCCTCACGCTTCTTCTTAGCTCTCTTGTGGGTACCCAACCTTCTCTTTGCCACTTTCAATGCCCTCTTATCCTTACCAACCTTCAAAAGCTCTGTAATCCTCTTCTCATAGGGAGCAAAGCCAGCAACTTCACGGATAATACTCCTTACAAAGTGTACCCTCTTGCTGGTTTTCTGTTTCGATCAAAATAATTGTGAGCCCCAAGTGAAAGCAAGAGAACATAATCAACGTTTTCAACTGATTAGAAACCCTTTCATCCAGTTAGAATGATAAAAGGATTTAGCACTAATAATGATTTGTTCCATCTATACGTTTAATGGATGGTGGCAGCAACTGTATTAGGATTTGGCGAGATAAAAAAACTAGTTGAAGGAACACCAGCATCCTCGGTACTCAAATTTCCTTAAAGCAGATCCATGGAAGGATAAAATAAAGCATTTTCTGAAGGGTTGAAAAGAAATGAACTAGGATGTTGAAATTTAATAAATTGTAACAATACAGATATTGTTAATTACTATCAATATTTTGAATTCTCCAATTTCGGAGCACTACTGTGGGCATTACAAAAATTAATCCAAAAAACCCAATGAGCTGCTTCATCAACTAGAATGAAAATTTAATCCAAAAAAATTATTCAATCCCACTATAAAAACCACCAAAACCTAAACATCTTTAATATTTGGTCGTATAGTGTACCTAATCATCGTTCTAAAAATTCAAATGTGATGGGCTGCGATTGCTTTAAACATTAGTGCCATACGAAGTCAACTTACCCCTTTGCGATCTGACGGGCGTGGAGCCAATTCCTTCTTGGTCACAATGTGACCCTTGTTCAATCCAACAAATAAACCCGTACTCGGCTGTTTCGGAGCCATTGCCTTTAAAAATAAAAAACGCGTTTAGTTTAGGACAATGCACATTTTCTTGTTGAAATAAGAACGTAAGAGGACAGGGCAAAACGGAAACCAGCTTTGAAAGCACCTACCCACAGCAATAGTTAAACTAATCCTAAGAAATTGCCACGAAGCAGCATGGTAAAATGAAAACAACAAGGACTAAGACAAGCAAGACATATATAGGAAGGGCACATATTAAGCATCAATCAGAAATCGGAGAAACCGACCGCAGCGTACCTACCTTGATCTGCCTCTGAGGCTGGAGATGAAAGAACTAGGGTTTATGTTTCTGATTAGTTTTATAGTGAAGCCGCAGGTCCGGGAAACGGGGATTCACAAACCGGCCGTGGAAAAAAGTGGGTTGAATATTTCGGTTCGGCAATGGCCCATTGTATCCGGCCCAAATAGCATTAATGGTCAATTTCTCGGAGGGAGCCTCTTATTTGATAAAATGGAAAAAATATTTTTTTTATTTACCAAAAATAAATGTTTTAAATTCATATTTATTAATTTTTATTTAAAAATATCAACTACAATCCATTGAATTTTTTTTTTTGCCAACAACTATAATCCATTCAATTGATTGATAAAAAGTAAGTATTCAATAAATTTATTTTTATTTTAGGTTTTTATTTTATAATAAAAATACATTTGTCTTTTATTTTACAATATTATAAAATAAACATGTACAAATCCTTCCATTTTAATATTCTCAATCCACAACTTTCAAAACTAGCAATTTTTTTTATCAAACTAAACTAAAAATAAATATTTAATTATGCAGTTTAAAATATGTTTTCATCATTAATTACTAGTTAATTAGTAAAAAATGAGATATATGTAATCGATAAAAGTTGAAATATAGCTTATCAAATAAATTTATCTGACATTTTAATAAGCAAATCACAAATTTTAAAATTTGAAAAATTAAGCTATTGATGAGAATTGTTCAGGATAAACTATATATATATATATATATATATTTTACCAATGCTCATTGGTGTTTGGGAGGGTAGCCCTCATAATTGAGTCCTTGTAAGTTTCGAGAGATTAGTCTCTTACTATTTGAATGGGGATGCTCTAGTGTTTAAAAAAAACTATATTCTTTTTTGTTTTATCAAACCTATATAAATATTTGACATATATAAAGAAATAGAACTATAAAAAATGAAAATAATACACACACACTTACACACACAAATATATATAAGCCTTACCCATGATGTGTTATCCATGGTTCGAGTCATTTTTCACATTTTAGAAAAAGCTTAACGCATTGACTACAGTCCTAACAGATAAACTACTTTGTTAAAAACTTGTCTCACATTTTTGAAACTCTACTCAACATGTCAAGTCATCCACTTAATAAGTTGAAACAAGTCCTTCTCTCTACAGTGTTTCCATCTCCTCGCAAGACATTTTCCAATCTTACTTATATGCATATGCCCAGTCCCAAATAACAAATTCCTTCTATTAAACACTTTTTAATAAGTTTTTTTTTTCCAATTTCAATTACAGTCCTTACATTTCATTCTTAAAGCTTCATGCCAAGTAAAGCCAATTGGTTTGAACATGTTAGTGAACTTTATCATCTAAGTCTAGCCTTGTGGAGACACTTTTTATCTGTTAATCTACCTACGCAGTGCATTACTCAAGTTTTCATTATGTTTCAAGCTTGCCTCTAAAATTACTTAACGTGTTAATGAGCTTCATTTGTTCAATCTTATCCTTAGCATTTCTACTTTAACGTCCCACTCCGGTCCTATATATGCAAATTACTTGTCGAGAGAAATTTTGATCCTAAATGAAAGTCATTTGTAACATATTTAATACTTGTTTTCAAATTTTATTCTTATTTAATTATCATTAGAAAAAAAAAAAGAAGAAAAAAATGAGAATAACTTGTAAATGTAAAAAGAGAGATAAAACTTTAATAAGGGCAAAATTTAAAAATTTTGTTAATTGAATGCATTCCTTTACCTATGAGAATGTGTTACAAGTAACTTATATTAAGAACCAAAATGGTATTAATATTTTGTCCTCAATGACATTCTAACAAGCTTTTAACCGGCAAAACTTGTTTTTGAACCTTACCTTGCACTTAATGCATTATTTGCTCTGCTTGATGGGTATTTTTTTTTCTGAATAAAAACCTCAGAACAAGTACTTACATGAAAGCAAAAAATATCAAGACTTAGTTTTCTGTATCAACCTGCCCTTCATCCAAAAGAGGAGGTTGATATAGGATACGAAAATTACCCTTCATATGATGAGAAAGTTTTGCTAGGTGATTAGCAATAGGAATAGATTCCCCAGGAGAATGTATCGGTATAACCATCCACTCCTTATGAATCATAAGCCTAACATCATCAACTATGTTCTTAAAAGAATAGCTGCTTTTACAACTTCTACAAACCAAAGACAAGGCTTCTACACAATCGCTGCAGACTGTTATGTTTCTACACCCTCTATTCCAACATAAACGCAACCCTTGATGAGTAATTTTCACCTTCAGTACCTGTAACACTTTGGAGATATAATAACGCATTAAACATTAATCGTGTTGCTTAATTCATTAACCAACCTTTGTTTTCAAGATATCACTTTCACATTTTCTACTTAACGTGTTAAATTTCATATACTATCTGCCCGGTTCTTAATATAAAAGTTAATTAACTAATTTGAGTACATTAAGAAAATTAGTTAAGTTAGTTAGTTATAATAAATATACGTTGTCTTTCTTAAAATATTATTGCTAATCATGTAGATCAGTTAGAACTACTATATGATAAAATATTTAACATGTACAATTACTATAATGATTACTATAAAAAAAAATAGATAAATAATCCTCTAGTCTTATTTATAGGGCACTGAGAGAGGTTTTTTATGAAGATACAATTTTACCCTTCATTTATTACTGTATTGTCTTTGTTTACATTAGCTATAATATATATTAAATGGAGATAAAATTAAAAAAATTGTTAAATTTTAAATGAGAGTTAATAAAATTTAAGATTTTTCTTGATCTGTATGAAACATATTGAAAGTGACTTATAAATAGAATCAGAGAAATAAGAGAGATAAAGTTGATTAATGCTTTATATTTAGGACTAAATTAAATATTAAATTAAGAGAGATATAAAATAGATTGATGTTTTATATTTAGGACTAAATTAAATATTAAATTAACTCTTCTAGTAAAGAGCGAGGTAGTACTCTTCTGGTCCTATTTATAAGTCACTTCCAACATATTTTACATAGATTACGAAAACCTTAAATTTTATTAACTCTCATTTAAAATTGAACAACTTTCTAACTTTATCTTTGTTTAATATACATTATACCTCATGCAAATAAAGTTAACATAATAATAAATAAAAAGTAAAATTATATACTCCTCCAGTCCTTAATATAGGACCCAATTGCTAAGTTGATTTTGGTCCTAAATATAAGACCCATTTCTCATATTTATTAATTTTCTCTAAATTGCCCCTATGGATACTCTATCAACCATAATCAAGTAGAAGATAGAGAGGGGTATTAAGAAAGATGATTATGGTATTTTAGGAAAAACATGTCACAATTTTTATAATTAACTAACTTACCTAACTTCCTTAATCTAATCAAATTAGTTAAATGGGTCCTATATTAAGGACCGGAGGAGTATTTATATAAAAAATTTCTTTTAATACCTTATAAATAGCTCTAAAAAAAATATCTTATCTCTGTTGTATAAACAAGATGAGTACTTAATATGTCAGCTTCCATGGTGAGTGTGAAATGGTTACGAGTCAAAGCATTTGTTTTGCTTGGCGCTTAAAATGCGCGTGTTGACTATCTTTGTGGCATGTAATTAATGGGCTTGGTACACACACATATTCATATAGCATCTCTTCCGAGTTCCGAGTTTTAAACTATTATAATCCTATTTGTCATCACGATTAAAATCACATATAAGCACATTTTATATAAATTGAGACAAAATTTTTCTCATATATTTTTCTCGTATTCCGTAAATCACGATTAAAAAATTACTTATAAGTTATTCCAAACGGGCCCTATATAATCTTACTTCTATTAAGAAAAACTATAAATATCACAATGTTTGAGTTGGTTAGTGATTATTGCACCCATCTTGCTCTTAGGCTTGAACAATGATATTAGTGATTAATGTGAGCCATAAGTTCTTTCTACTTCTTATATATGAAAATCATTGGTATCGGTTTAAAGCTATAATATAATGCTCCGGCTCGAAATATAAGATTTATTTTGTCATATCAATTATATTATAAAATGGGTCTTATATTTAGGACTGGAGAAGTATATTAACTTCAACATTAGAATGATCAGTGATTATTGCACCTTAATTGTCAATTGAGGCACCTGTTTCACCTCCAAAATCTAGAAAATATTTAAGGTGATTGCTAAAAAAAAAAAATGAAAAACTGACTATTCAAAATATTAAAGATGAGTACTAAAAATACAGAACAGAAGTGCTAAAGATATGAAAAAGATTGGTGAAAAGTTTGACTCGCACAAAAAATTAAAAGAAAAGGCCAAAAAAGAGAATTACATTTGATATTAGAAAGTTTATATTATACATTGCTATAGGCATATATATTTAGATATACACATTTCTAAATTAAATTTCAAGGTTCAAAATAGTTATAATTAACTAACAAAAGATCATGGTCTAAAAAAAAGATTGGAAAATCTAGATCTTCTGTTAGATCTATTTAAAAATGACCTGGAGGTCAACTTTTTAAGTGACATATAAGAAAACCATATTTCTTTTATGTTTATATTGTCATTGAGATGAATACACACCAATTACACAAAGCAATGCTTGTATTTTATTCTAACTAGTAATAGTAATAAAAACTTTTGAAATTGCATTAAAAAAACTGAAAGTAGATGATTTATTGAAGTGAATTTTTGTTAACCAATTTCATTATAGTAGATGAGTTAGATATTATAGATATGACAATGATAATTAGTTTGCTGGAATTTTTTAATTATCCAAAAAAATCAACTCAAATGATTAGGTAATTGATCTTATAATTATATATATCTTTGAAATAAAAAATATGAATGAATAGTGAATTTTGTTTATATTTTATGGTAATGATACTGATTGATATGGTTGGAATGGAATTTAATTTTTTTGTTAG